AACAAATCATTGAATTCGCTCCCCAGCTACTGCAAATGCAGCTCGAATCCCTGAAAAGGGACCCTTAATGTAATCTTTAATTAACGCTGGAGTGTTCCAAACGCTCAAGTGGGGAAAAAAGAGAGTCTTCCTTATCTCAGATCACCATAGTTCTGCAGCGCCTCGCCAGTAATTTCTCATCCTCTGACTTAACAAGACCCATCTTGAAGATGTGGAAGCGGGTCGCAAAAAAATGAACGACTGGTTTTGCAATATTTGTTGATATAGCATGAGGTGGAGATGTGCTTCCAGGATCCATGTCAAGAACTAAATGAGGACATGCTGGCATTTGACTGCCCTTATTGGAACGGTTTCTTTTTACCTGGCTGCATCATAAATCTCATCTTGTTGTTATGTCGCCCTCGACTTAACGACAACCCCAATGAACGAATGATCTTCAAAATGTCCTCTCCTCAGTAGCCCTGTTCAGCTCTTGCACACCCAAGCCAATGGCTTCCTTTAGGCAGCCAACCCATCTCCTATTTGGTCTTCCTCTTTTCCTGCTGCCTTCCACCTTTCCCAGCACGATGGTCTTTTCCAAAGAATTCTGCCCTCTTCGTGATGCGCTCAAAGATGGACAGACTCAGCTTCCAACCTTTTTGGCTCCAGAGAGATTGATTTGATCTAAGACCCATTTGTCCATCTTTCTGGCACTCTTCTCACGTTTCAAACAAATCAATTTCTTTGCTCTCCAGCTCATCTGGGCATCCCTGAAAGGGTTGATATGGAAAGCTTCAGCAGGGAGAGAGCCTTATCCCCACCCTCGGCTAGGATCCTAGGTAAAGTCAAGCTTCTGTTCCATGTGGAATCTCTCCATGCATTTGATGAACCATGGTTCCTGATGATGTGGAGAGACTCCACATGGAGCGGGCCATCTTTCAGACAGCTAGCTTGAGCAATTTTCATACAACCATCATCATCATCATCATCATCATCATCATCATCATCATCATCATCATCATCATCATCATCATCATCATCATCATCATCATCATGATGTGCTGTCAAATCAATTCCGGCTTATCACAGCCCTTTTCAGGGTCTTCCAGGTAGAGAATGCTCAGAAGTAGTTTCCCATTCCCTTCCTCTAGGGGGCAACCTGGGACTGTGCAGCTGGCCCAAGGCTACCTAGGCTTATTTGACTCATAGGCATACAGTGGGGGAATCCAACTCCCAACCTCCGGCTCCACAGCCATAGACCTAAACCAGCGGTCCCCAACCTTGAGCCTCCAGATGTTCTTAGATTACAGCTCCCAGAAGCCTTCACCACCACCTCTGCTGGCCAGGATTTCTGGGAGTTGAAGTCCAAGAACATCTGGAGGCCCAAGGTTGGAGACCACTGACCTAAACCACTGACCTATCCAACCAGCTGATTTTCATCTCAGGCACCTTTAAATGTTGCATTTTTCAAAAGAAGAAGGAGGGAAAGGATTTCAATTTAGCACCACTCCAGCTGGCCTAGCATGAGCAATGCTAACCCTCTGCCGTCTTGAGCAGCTAGGAGTGTGTCTCTGCTTCCTAGCTGCCTCTCACTGAGAGCAATGATGTGGCTGGCAGACTTTTTGTCCTCCTGAAAACAGATTTCCTCTCCCGTTGCCTCTTTCTCAACTAATTGCATCGCGGGAGGGATTCTCCTTAATCTTCTTCTTCCATGGCACCTCCTGGTGTCTCAGCCAAATGCTTTCCACTCTGGCTCATTAGGACCACGGGGATCTCATGAAGTTCACCTAGAAGAGTTCAAGTTTCTCCGTGTCTGTGCCTTTCCTTTCTTCTCTTGTTGGCAAGGTGATGAACCGTCTTCAGCTGCTACTCCCTTTCTGGCTCTCTAATCATGCCAGTTTATTATTCTCTTCCTTTGTTTTTTTCTCCTTCAGGGTTGGGCCTTGGGGGAGGGTGCTTATTACTCAGTGGAGGAGAGAGGCCATGGAACAGAATTGTTAACATTCTCTCCCCCCTCCCCTTAGGAGCATGAACAAGTTCCAATTAGGTTGATGAGGAAACTTCCAGTCAAGACAGAAGGTTTGCCTGCAACCCTCAGCAGCCCAAGAGGTGGGGGGTTCTGACGTCCGCAGTCACCCTTTCTTTTGGGGAGAAAAGCCAAATCTTGACCCTTTTCTCGTGCACTTCAATGTTGATATCAAAGATATTGAGAGAAAGAATAGGAATATTTTGCTGATTTATGAAGAGCCTTTCCATGGTTTTCTAAGTAGAGAATACACAGAAGTGGTATAAGTTTGGAAATATGCAAAAGTGATCAAAATGCAAATTAAAAACAACAACTCCTGCACCACAATTTGTCCATACCACAGCAATCATTTTTTTAAAAAAATATTGGGACTTATTTTGCAGAAGACTATATTAGTTCTACCAGTGGCTGCGGATCAATAATAAGAACCTTAGAACAGTAGAGCTAGAATGGACTCTATGGATTATCAAGTTCAGCCCTTGTCAAGAAGGCTCAGTGGGGAATCGAACTCCAAACCTCTGGATCTGCAGCTGGAGACCTGAATGACATGATTTTAGAACCACAGAGCCAGAAGGGATTGTCTAGGAGGGCCAGTGGAGATTCGAACTCCCAACATCTGACTCTGCAGGCAGTGACCTAAATCGCTGAGCTATCCAACAATCTTCTCCTTCTCCTCCTCCTCTAATAATCCATCAACAGAAACTAGGTTTTTGCATCAAGGGCACTGGAATGCATAATAAGTAATTTGAGCATTTCAACATGATGAGGGTAGAGAGAATTGAGAAAAGATGATGCGCGTCTACATATTTATCTCTCTAGTCGGTTCCCGGAGTTACCTGGTAGTCCAGCACATTCTTCTCCTCCTCCTTCACAGCCCGCCAGAAGATAAATGGCTAATGGGGTTTTTTTTAAAAAAAATGTGATCATTAGGTTGAAGCAATGAGCCAGGAGGTTCACCAGGTTTGACAAGAGCACAGGAAGCCGTTTCCTGCAGTATCATTAGCTGTATTTTAGAGAACAGGGTGTGTAATTGCTATGGTAATTGGACAGTGGAATTGCCTGCAAGACGATGTCAGTTATTTGGAACGTTAATCTCTATGCGAGGATGAGGGCTGGGATTCTTCTTTCATTGGAGAAGTCAGAGGCAGGATATATATGTGAAGCTTTGGTGGACAAATGTGTATCTAGACCAGTGTTCTCTTCTCGGTGGCCAACCCATTGGAGAGGTGCGAGGCAGGATATATATGTGAAACTTTGGTGGATACGACCAAACGTGTATCGAGACCAGTGTTCTCTTCTCGGTGGCCAACCAGATGCTTCCAGGAAGCCTCCAACTGAATGAGTTCCTTGCTGTCCTGTCGCTTTGATCCCCTACCAATAGCTTTCTAGAAGTAAATTAATTCTTCGTGCTGGAGATAATGGGTTGGTGCGAGGCAGGATATATATGTGAAACTTTGGTGGATACGACCAAACGTGTATCGAGACCAGTGTTCTCTTCTCGGTGGCCAACCAGATGCTTCCAGGAAGCCTCCAACTGAATGAGTTCCTTGCTGTCCTGTCGCTTTGATCCCCTACCAATAGCTTTCTAGAAGTAAATTAATTCTTCGTGCTGGAGATAATGGGTTTATCTCCAGCACGTGTGCACGTGCGCGTGCGTGCACGCTCACACACACACACACACACTTTTTAAAAGTCCAGCACGTGCGCGCGCACACACACACACACACACACACACTTTTTAAAAATAGCTTTGTACCAGTGGTGTTGCACTACAGCACTTAGACAATTTGCAAGCCAAAAAAGAAAATGAGAGGAGGAAACTTCCACATGGCCGTTATTTACAGCTTCCTAGGTAGCTGAGCTACAAGAGAACTCCATTAACAACCTGCAAACAAGGCTTTCCTCCTCTTTCCCTCTGTGGCCAGTTAATATCAACTGACCCAGAGAAATCTGAAGTTCCCTGTCAACTGACCCAGAGAAATCTGAAGTTCCCTGTGCGATTTCACAGCAAGTGAATTCACATTTTCTTGCCGTGTGGTTGCACACTAAGCTCAGGATCCTTTGATTTACACACACCAGCCTTAATCAAACAAACAAGATAAATCTCAGCAGCAAGTTGCCCTAAGGAATCAGCAGCAAGGAATCCATGCCCTGCCATGGAAAATCTGCTTAGTGTCCTCATGCCATTATGATTCCAAGGTAAGACCTTCCAAGTCCGAATCCCCACTGTACCTCCTTGGCAAGTGCTGGACTTGATGATGCACAGAATCCCTTCTAGCTCTGCAGTTGCAAGATGATGAAGTTTTAAAGACTTTAGCTAAGACCTTCCAAGTTCGAATCCCCACTGTACCTCCTTGGCAAGGACTGGACTTGATGATGCACAGGATCCCTTCTAGCTCTGTAGTTGCAAGATGATGAAGTTTTAAAGACTTCCTCTACTGGCCCACATTTAGTCCTTGGTTTTTATTGTTATCTCTGTGTTGCTATTTACATTTAATGTTGGATATTCATGCTGTAATATTTCAGTAGTTTGAAATTGTTTTGGCTGATTGATTTGTCCTGCTGTATCCAAATGTTTGTGCAACTTTAAGGCTCTTATGGGACAATTCAGAGAAATACGGAGTGCAAAATTTTCAAAAAGCAAAGACCTAAAATGCACCTGGCAGGAATATACAGTATATATATATGCTCAAACATGCTTTTGTCGGGGAGGGGGGGAGAGAATTGTGCAAATGAGACAAAACGAACAGTTTTGAAAACAATTGTATGTAAAAAGTGTTTGAAATAATGGCAAATGGGAAGAACCGTGAATTTTCATAACCCGGTGTAAAAGAAGGATAGGAGGGCAACTGAGCTGGGATTTGGAGTAACAGGATAACATTAAAACTTCAGGAAATTCGCACACTTCTTCCAGTTAGCTGGAGGAAAGTGAGATGACAACTGTTTCCTTGAGTCAGCTGCTCAGTGTTTTTGGTTTTCCTTCTGTTCTCCTCAGGTGCAAACAGATGTCCTATCCCGATGACCTCCCCCAGATCGCGGTGGTCTTTATTTTTGTGAATGAGGCTTTGTCTGTCATCTTACGCTCCGTACACAGTGTCGTGAATCAAACTCCATCCCATCTGCTCAAGGAGATTATCCTGGTGGATGACAACAGTGACAATGGTGAACATCCATATCGCTTGTCTGTCTGTCTGATTTGTTTAGATACTTCGGATCTGTGTGTGTTTCCATGAGTTGTCTGTAATAAGACAAAGCTGTACATTTTTTAAAAAAGAGCTCTGCTTCTGATCTTTGATGGTCCGAGGGGATATATAATGCAAATGATGTGCTCCAAAATCCATTTGGTGATTTTGAGCAAAGCAGTGAGTTGTAGGTGTGGGCTCTTTCATTTATTTATTCATTTGGAATTTACCTTGCAGAATTCTTCATGCAGAATTCTGGGAGTTTCCAGCCCACAAAGCACAACTACAGATACCTACATTTCACTCGCCTGGAGCAGGGCCTGTCCTTAGGCTGCACAGCATTCTCTAGCTTTTGCTTCCTGCTGTTGGTGGGGAAAAAAGGGGGGGAGGCTGCCACAATGCTTCCTGAGAGTCATAGTTCCTTGTGAGGTGTCCTAATGGGTGGAGAAACTACAACTCTCAGGAAACACTACAGCATCTTCCTTTTTTAAAAACAGAATTCTGGGAGTTTCCAGCCCACAAAGCACAACTACAGATACCTACATTTCACTCGCCTGGAGCAGGGCCTGTCCTTAGGCTGCACAGCATTTTCTAGCTTCTGCTTCCTGCTGTTAGTGAAAAAAAAAAACGAGGGGGAAGGCTCCCACAATGCTTCCTGGGAGTCATAGTTCCTTGTGAGGTGTCCTAATGTGTGGAGAAACTACAACTCTCAGGAAACACTACAGCATCTTCCTTTTTAAAAACAGAATTATGGAAGTTGCAGTCCAAAAATAGGAAAGAGCACATCCCCTAATAAGTTGGTGGTAGGGCACATGGTTCACATGCAAAATGTCCCAGGCCCGGTACATGACTAGAGGTGATGGAGATGATGAATGGAGATGATGAATGTCCTCCAGGTCATAGCCTGAATTTCACATGAGCTTCTTAAGGTGCTGAACCCTACCCAAAGTAGGTTCAGCGTACTGGCTGGCTCTATTAAAGTTCAGTCACATTGCCCATGTGAAATCAAAGCCACCAGCCTCTACTGAGCTCCATATCAGTCTAGCTCTATTAAAGTTCAGTCTGAAACTGAGTGGATTCATTGCCGATGTGAAATCAGAGCCATCAGCCTCTACTGAGCTCCATATCAGTCTAGAATAGGGATGGAAAACCTCTCACTCTCCAAAAGTCATTGAGTGGTGCTTCCTTTTATCTCACATCACTGGCCATCAGGCTTCCTGGATTTGCATCCCGACAATACCTGGAGGACCAACAGTCTTCACCCCTAAGCTAGAACCAACTCTTGTCTGTGACCCTTAAGAACAACAGCCAATGTAAACCCCTGATTGGTGACTTGGCATCCTCCAGATGTTTTGGGCTAAAACTCAACCCTAGATAGCATGTTGGTCAATGAGGATTGTATAGTCCTAAAATCTGGAAAGCAGCGTTATAGATGCTGATCTAGGTGGATCAGGGATAGCTTCCTTTCTTCCACCAAGTCATGCCTCTCTTCTTGAAAATGTCCAGGCATCCAGTTTGCACACACAGGTTGCGTTGGCTTCTTCTGTTGACCACCGCGACGGAGGACAGCTATGGACACTCAGAGGGATGGACCCAAAACAGTATAATAAGCAGTCTTGAGTTGAGTTGAGTCTCTTGCTCCACTTTGCCCAGGATCATTGTTGACCATGACTAGCATCAGTTTCTCCAGGTTCTCAAGAAGGATACATCCCTTCTTCCTATCTGGAGATGCTAGTGATGGTACCGTATTTTTCTGTGTATAAGACGCCCCCCACTTTTCTAACCCAAAATTAAGAAATCTAACTGGGGCTTAGCAATTGGAGGGGGAAACATGGATTAAAGCCCTGCAGGATCACTTTGATCCCTGCTTTCCCCTCCACTTGGTTTTTCTCTCCTCAGCTTACTTCCGTGTATAGGATGACCCTCAATTTTTAGTCTAAAGCTTTTAGACAAAAGTATAGTCTTATACATGGGAAAAATATGCTGGAGATTAGATACCTGCTATATGTGAAGCAAGTGCCTTCACATTGTGTCGTGGAATGTAGCTTTACAGTGCACAATAATGAATTCCAATTGCATGCCATCAAATCAATCATGGACTGATTTCAGGATATTTTAGGTAGAGATTACTCAGAAGTGGTTTACCATTCCTTTGGCTGACTCTTCTGGGAGGCAGAGTGAGGAAATGAACTCCCAACCTCTGGTTCCACAGCCAGATGCCCACTCGCTGAGCTAAGCAGCTCAGAAATCAATGGAAAACTGTGCACAGAGATGCAACATGTCTATAATGCGCCTATGGAGTTTCAAATCAGGATGGGGAACAGCTAGGAGGAAATGCAGCTTATCAGAACTGTATGGGCAGTCACACACCGTTTCTCATTATCTGGTTTAATTCCTCTTTTTTTAAAAAAATCATCATCATAATTTTATTTGTATAATCTTAATGCCTGAATCCATTTTGAGATACTTTCCATAGAAAGAGCACCCGAATCCAATAAAGCCAATATTAAATTCTTTTTTTTCCAAGTCATTTTTTTAAAAATTGGGAATTAAATAATAATAATAAAACAAGAGGAGAAGGGGCTTGAATCATGAGATTGCTCTGATTAAATTTCCCACCTTCGGGCCACCGTGTCTATGAAATGTTTTCCCCGAGTTAAATGAGATTTCATCGGAAAGCCACCGGATGGATGGAGGCATTGATGTTCTTTTGTGCTTTGCTTTTGATTTTTCTTCTTCTTCTTCTTCCAGTTGAGCTGAAGTTTAATTTGGACCAGTATGTTCATAAGAGATACCCGGGGCTGGTGAAAATAGTTCGCAATAACAAACGGGAAGGTCTGATCCGAGCCAGAATCCAAGGTTGGAAAGCAGCGACAGCGCCAGTAGTTGGGTTTTTTGACGCTCATGTGGAGTTCAACAATGGCTGGTAAGGGGGTTGTTGCAGAATGTGGCAAAACAGGGTTGTGTCTGGGGTGTTTCGTTCTTTGTTCAATTCACCTTTATGGATTTATTACATGCCTATTGTATCTTTTTTCCCCCACTAATGAGATGGAATGCATGGTTCTCTTCTCACCCACTTTGATTTTCATAACCACCCTGTGAAGGAGGACGGATTCTGAATGTGAAGCCAGCCTAAGGTCACTCCGTGCATTCTCTGGCTGAGATGGGATTTGGATTTTGGTTTCCTCGGTTGATATAGATCACCCTAAACTGGTGGTTCCCAACCTTGGGTCCCTAGATGATCTTGGACTACAACTCCCAGAAATCCTGGCCAGCACAGCTAGTGGTGAAGGCTTCTGGGAGTTGCAGTGCAAATACACCCGGTGATCCCCAAATCTGGGAACCACTGCCCTAAACATGTTACTTCGATTTTACCAATGTGTCCCTCTTTTTCCCATAAACCAAAATCAAACTGAGGAAAAATACAATAAAAAATATAGAAATCAATTAATACACCCGGGGAGCCCCAAATTTGGGAACCACTGCCCTAAAGATGTTACTTCGGTTTTACCAATGTGTCCCTCCTTTTCCCATAACCCAAAATCAAACTGAGGAAAGAATACAATAAAAAATATAGAAATCAATTAAAAACTCCAAAAGTCTTCAACAAAAGGGTTGCTAAGATGTTGTCCTTGTACATCAATAATTGTAAACATCTATAAGTGAAACGAATTTACATTTTCTCTGGTTTATTTTCCCCTTCTGTCCTCTAAGTACTGTCTGAAATGCAGGGCTACAGATCGGATCTTGACCCACTTTCTGCCTTTTTGGAGATCCTCCGATCTAAACCCTTTTCTGGGTCGATGGCGCTATGGGTGTCTCCAGATCCATAGGGGAGAAATAAAAGCCATTCCTGTGGAGGGAGATGTTCAAATAGTTGAGCCAGGCCATGATCTTAATCTTAGAATTGCTGATCTGGAAGGGACCTGGTGGATCCTGGAGTCCACCTCCTGGTCAAGGAGGCCCAGTGGGGGAATCGAACTCCCAACCTCTCGCTCCAGAGCCAGAGACCTAAACCACTGCGCTATCCAACAAGTCAAAAAAGTTTGGGAACCACTACCCTATGGTTTACCGAGACAACTTGATCATCGCTTCCCTTCCAATAAATATATTATCCCTACTGTCTCTCCTCTCATTAATGACCAGTTCATTAGCATAAGCAACTCCATCTTCCCGTTGCCCCAAACAGGCATTGCCATTTCCGAGCTGATACAGGGAGAAGTCCTGCCGAGAACCACACAGGGTCCCCCTCTGACACTCCCCCCCAAACTGGGATGATGCTAGGAATAGCAACTTCAACTCTTTGTGGAGCTAAACAACCTCAAGTGTTCACTGAAGCATCCTCGATGCTTTTCAGTGGTGCAGAAAAAGCCAATTCCGAGTTGGCAGGTGAACAGCTGATCTTTGACTCAGCAGCCAGCTTGCCGTGTCGATTCCGCTCAGCTCCGGCTGGTAGGCTTGGTGGACCAGGACCTTCAAGGGCACCTCGGGGAGAGCCTGATAAAGACGTCCAGCAGGACAGATGGGGAATTTTTCTCCCGCCTTCTGGTGAGAGAAGAGACGCTCACCCGGTTATCTTTTTTTAAGAAGCCGGCTTTTGCCAGCGCAAATCAGGGTCTGGCTTATTGGCATCAATAAGCCAGGTTTAGAATGGATTTGCAGAAGCATTTTTGCATAAATCCCATGAGGTTCTCGTTCCCCTCTATTCGGCACTGGTTGGGTTTCATTTAAAGTACTGTGTCCAGTTCTGCACACCGCACTTTAAGAAAGATGCCAACAAAATGGAGCAGGTTCAGAGGAGTGCAAAAGGGACGATCAGGGGACTGGAAACCAAGCTCTAGGAGGGAAGATTGAAAAAAAATGGGCATGTTTAGCCTTGAAAAAAGAAGACTAAGGGGAGATAGGATAGCTCTCTTTAAATATTTGATATCTTACTAGGAAGCCAGATGTTTCCATTTCTTTCTTTCTTTCTCTTCCTTCCTTCCTTCCTCTTATCATCATCAGCTCCTCCCTCCCTCCCTCCTTTCTTCATTCCTTCCTCTTATCCATCATCAGCTCCTTCCTCCCTCCTTCCTTCGTTCCTTCCTCTTATCCATCATCAGCTCCTCCCTCCCTTCCTCCCTCCCTCCTTCCTTCTTTCCTTTCTCTTATCCATCATCAGCTCCTTCCTTCCTCCTTCCTTCCCTCCTTCCTTCCTTGTATGCCACCTGATTAGTGACAAGCACTACTCTGTGTGGTTCACAGTCACAGCAGCGTTAGTGGCTTTCCTTCTCCTCTCCTTGTTCTCTGTGATGGACCCTGATCTGTCTTCGTACAGGAAGCTACGGTTGATGAGAACAAGATGATTTATGAAGTTGCCATGGAGCTATGCAAAGCAGATGTAGGAGGGGAGGGCAGAGGAAGGGCCTTCGGGAGCTGCCGTCAGCTGCAGTCAAGAAAAAGGAAGGTTCGGGCAATATCCAACATGACAGCTCCGCCAGGCCTCCGAAATGCATCCTTTGATAAGGGATTTGAACATCTCTGCTTCGCTTCTCGAAGAAATGACATGCTCCGTACAGCCACTCTTTAGGGAGTTGGATTAAAGGGTCAGAGCAGCGCCATGAATTTTACACTGGTTGTTGTTCCATGCTAATCAAGGATTCCCATTTCATGGATCACTGCTCCCAACAGCTACTGCGAGATAGGCATAAACGAAGATTTCTGAAAGCAGTGTCAACATAATTTGAAAAAAAAAAAATTAAATAAATCCCTGTTCACCCACCATTTTCCATGCCTTCCCCATATATCAGAAAAAGTTGTTGTCTCCCTGCAAAAAAAGAGGAGCTTTCCATCTTGTTTTTATTGCAGAGTTTTTGAATTTTGGTTACATCCCTCTAGCCGCACAGCAGAAGTGCAGGCATTTACAAAGCAGATTAGATCCAAGTTCCCTAGAGGTTGGACTACTCTTTCTCTCATTGTCTGGCACTTATAGTCTCAATAACTCGCTCTGAGGCATTTGTCAGAGGAGAACAAAACCCTTTCATTGCTTACAGTTGAACAGGTCTAAGAGCAAACATGACTGTTTTTCAGCCAAAACCTTCCACAGACTCACTGCTTTTCTGATGTCAGCAGATTCCAACAGAGAGAGAAAAGAGCCACAAAGCAGAGAGGCGGAGCTCTCTTTGAACTCAGAGGAGGGGGGAGGGAACTATTGCTTAGTGCTGGATAGATTGACAGTCAGCCCAGCCCAGAAAGGTCCCTCCCAGTTGCACCTTCTCCAGGCAGCATGCGAGGTTGCAATTGCTCCGCACCTTCTCCGGGCAGCATGCGAGGTTGCAATTGCTCCAACAGGTTTTCTGATTTGAAAAAAAAAATCTCAGAGTAGCAAATCCATTATCACAACTCTCCAACATGCACAAGTAGAGAGGGGGATAAATCTACAGGGATAATTATCCGGGCCTGTCTCGCGGACATGAAGGCATGGCATAGGGACATCCTTCATGTGAGGCAGGTCAGCAGTTGTGGTGTAATCCTGGGCGAGCATAGCTCGAAGATTTCTTTCAAGAAGCGGAACAGGGATGGCATTTACCGTATTTTTCGCTCCATAAGGCGCACCAATTTTTAGGAGAAGTAAACAGGAAAATATAATCTGTTTTCTTCGCTCCATAAGACGCACAGACTTTCCAGCCCCCTGTTTTGTGGGGGGAAAGTGCGTCTTATGGTGCGAAAAATACGGTATTACCAGTAAGAGTAATGCTCCTTACTCGGGCAAACAAAATCTTAAGAGGCTCTCTTTTCTCCTCCATCTTGGGTGCTCTAAGGAGGAATTCCGGGAATAGGAAGCATTTGATTTATTGAGATGACTTTTTTTCTGGTGCCCAGCTCCAGTTTACCCTGGCACACAATGACACAAACAGGGTTTGCCCATTCGCTCCTGTGCGGATCCTGATTTCCTGTTCAAGGGAGTGTCTATTTCACACCTCCTTCCCCTTTTATCATCTCAGCACCCCTCTGAGGGAGGTCAGGCTGAGGCACCTGCGCCTTGCGGAAAGTCATGTGGGAAGTTTCAAATCCCCCCCGAGGGAGGATTTGAACCCAGCTCTCCTGGCTTCTAAGCCATCCTTCTAACAGCTGCACCATTCTGTCCCTACCTTGGATAACTTTCATTTTAAAGTAGTGCTTCTCCGCGGGACCCGCTGATCTGTGTTTCTGCATGAACAAGATGGAGCTGGTATTTTCTTTCCCGCATTGGTGACAGTCCTCCCCCGGTTCTCCTCTCCCAGGTGGCTGTCACTTGGCAATGCGATCCCTCAAGGTTATTCTTCTCTCCCCACCCCCACAACAAGTGACTCAGAATATCTCGAGGCTTCTCTCCCGGGTAAACATCTTAACAATGTGTCATTAATGACACCTACCTCAGCGATTCCAGCTTTTGATGTGCAGGGCAGAAGCGTACGGGTGCGCAGACGCGTGCATGCACTAATCACGCACGGCGCATCCGTAACGAAGACGGTGCCGATGCTTCCGTATTGCTCATCATGATAACGGACACGCAGGTGTCGTTTGTAGCGTTAAGAGGAACGAGAAGGACCGGACTGGAAGGATCAGCCTTTCATGCTTCCATACGTATCTGCGGTGTGAGAAATGCTTTGGTCGATAAAATGACAAGCCAAAGAGTCTTTTGGCTGAATCGTGCTTGGCTTTCTTAAAGAAGATTCAGACCTTTCTCCCTAGCACTTCCCTGCTTTCCCTTCAAAGGTGGAGAGTCTTGAATTTAATTGAAATGCAATGCATGCATGCATACATATATGCATGCGTAAATACATACATAGGTACCCATACGCATACAAAGTGCTCTCCTCCACCAGGGCCGTTTGAAGGCAGGCTGCATCTATTTCATTTATGATGCCCCCGTTCCCCTTCCAAAACTGCATTGATTCATTTGATGGTACATGACCCTTCACTTTAATTAATACTATAATTGACCGTTTCTTACACCAGCAATATTAGCATAAAAAAGTGTGTTTTTTGCACAAGTCTTGTATCCTTGCATTTTAAAAATTGCTGTAGTTTGCACAAAACACAAGGGGTTTTGCACAAAATGCAGGCGCTCATATTCTGTAGCTTATTAACTGCACATAGAGGGCTTGGTTCTAAGTAAAGTTTCACTCCCCCTCTCCCACACACACTGTTTGCGCACAGAGGTATCCAGTTAACCTTTTCTGTGATTGGACATCATGGCGGTTTTTGAATGAATGGCATGCTGGAAACATGGGGAGCGCCCTCAATTTGGAACTCTTATTTTATTCCTTCTAGGGTGGAGCCAGCGCTTACACGGATCAAAGAGGACAGGAGACGAATCATCCTGCCGGCCATTGATAACATCAAGTACAACACTTTTGAAGTACAGCAGTACGCCAATGCGGCTCATGGCTACAACTGGGGCCTTTGGTGCATGTATATCATCCCACCTCAAGACTGGCTGGACAAGGGAGACGAGTCGGCTCCCATCAGGTGAGGCTTGGAGATTTTCATTGCTTTGTCACTCCGTGTTCTTTAGCCCTGCCCTTAATTTCTATGATCCACACTGCAGTGTTTTTTGGGGAGGGGGTGGTTAATGTACATCTGGTGGGGTGGGTGTGTCATATTTTATGTTCGAGACATGCTTACACTCTGCGATAGGTCAGAATTGGAAATGGGCACAAACTGGGGGGAAAAATGGTGACTCGTGATGGTTTGTAGTTTGTGCCTAACCACGAACCACCACAAAACTCCCCCCAGAAAAATCACCACATTTTCTGTGTATAAGACGCCCCCATGTATTCATCCCCATGTATTCATCCCTTCTCCTATCTGGAGATGCTAGTGATGGTACCGTATTTTTCTGTGTATAAGACGCCCCCCACTTTTCTAATCCAAAATTAAGAAATCTAAGTGGGGCTTAGCAAGTGTAGGGGAAAGGGATAAAAACACTCGAGCCCCTGCTTTCCCTTCCACTTGTTTTTGTTTTCTCCTTGGCTTACTTCCGTGTATAAGACGACCCTCAATTTTTAGTCTAAAGATTTTAGACAAAAGTATAGTCTTATACACTGAAAAATATGGTAATTGGTTTGTTGTTCATTTTTCTTGTTTGTGCCTGGGGGAAGATCTACCGACTCCTGCTCTCTACCTTCTCTGCTGCTCGCCTGCCCTTCCAACTGGCCCCATTGGCTCCCTATCTGGTCCTGTCCCTGGAAGGGGTGCTGGGCCCACTGTCTCTGAAGATGGCAGTGGTAGTGGAGGAGAAGCAAAAAGAAGCATTGAGGCGGGTTTGTTGTTCATTTTTCTTGTTTGTGCCTGGGGGAAGATCTACCGACTCCTGCTCTCTACCTTCTCTGCTGCTCGCCTGCCCTTCCAACTGGCCCCATTGGCTCCCTATCTGGTCCTGTCCCTGGAAGGGGTGCTGGGCCCACTGTCTCTGAAGATGGCAGTGGTAGTGGAGGAGAAGCAAAAAGAAGCACCGAGGCGGGGGAAAAAATTGGTGCTTCGTTTTGCTTTGGCAAAACGGGATCTCCAAACCCAACTCGGTTCGTGCCTAGTCAGAATCCTGGCTTGATTTTGAGAAGGATGAGACGTCTCAAAACAAATAGCCTTTCCCCTCCTTTTGAGATGCGTTGCTTCAATAGATGGCACTTTGCCATGAGAATCCGTTCGTTGGTTTCTCCAGTCATCCATTCAGCATGAGCTCGGAAACCCACACGTGACCCCAAAGGCCCTTCCTTCTTTGATTCAAAACGGTGGCCGTCCCATCCCGAATGTTGCAGTTTCCCCATCAGCAAAGGATCGTAAGGGAGGCAAGCAGACCATAGCTGCCCATTTCTTCTTATTGCTGCCGAACAGGATGTGGCAGCATAAACTTTATTTAATCACTGCGCAGCATGTGTCTCTTATCAGGACACCTTCTGCTCTTTGTGAAGCCTCAATATGCGGGCAGGTAATTGCTCAGGAAATCTTTGTGCTTGTTGATAAAACTTCACCCGCTGTTTGCGCTCTTTCCTTTTCAAAGCGCAGCCGTTCTTTCGCTGTCACTGCATATGTTCGCTTGCAGTTCTGCTATTGATTCCGGGGATGGGGGAGAAGGAATAATACAAGAACACGAGCATCAGTTTCAGAAACCAGTTGGTTTTTCTTTTTTTAAACAAGTCTTTACTTCAGAAAAGTCTTTACCCCAGGGAGGATGGATAACTGAGTGGTTTAAGGATCTGGCTGCTGAGCCAGGGGGTGGGAGTTTGATTCCGCCACGGTGCTTCCTGGGAGAAGAGCCAGCCTGTGTAGCCTTGGGCAAGCACTTCTGTATATTCTCTATCTGAAAAGCTCTACAAAGAGTCACCATAAGTCAGAATAGACTTGATGGTACATGATAATTGTTACTCCAGAGAGGACAGAATTTAAATACTGTCTTGTTTTCGATGCACATGTTGGAAACACTAATTGTTTACGGCCATAATTTTCAGTCTGATGACTGTCCCGCTGGCTGGGATATTCTACGTGCTGTAAAAGCAACAAAAATTACTCTTTTCAGGCTCTACTCAGAACACATATTCTTCTCCTATGTCCTCACTTCCATTGTATGGTATCTTAGGTGGTTTATTTGTTTTGAACTTTGCTTTCTAAGTGCCACAGGGCAGAGGACTGTAGTATTTTACTCATCATTTTGATGGTCTAGGCACTCTAGTAGTGACATAAACAATAAACTTTTTCAAGACCCCACTTGTAAATATTCCGTGTGCAAAGCCAGCCTGAAATGAATGTTTGCTTTTCCCCCATTTTCTGCCTCATTCACGGGTGGTGTTGAATTTCAGGGAGTCATTTTTGTGGGACGCCTCTGTATGTGGAAAAGTCGGAGGCGTAAATAATAAGTTTACTGTTTCATGACGTTTTCCTTTCCCTTATTAAAGTGCCTTTGCCACCACTACACAAGTGAAATCCCCCAATCCCTATTTTACAGAAATCTTACATACACCTAAATGTGGCTCACCTGGGAGAAAGGCCTCCTCTGGAAGGCTTTGAGGCCTAGCTAGGCCTAGCTCTGCTTAGTTTCCTGTTGAGCTATCACTGAGGCAGGAACAGGAAGCTTGGGTGAAGCAGTTTCCTGTTGAGAAAGAAAGCTCCCAGCTTGCACTGGGGCAGGAACAGGAAGCTTGGGTGAAGCTAGGCCTAGCTAGGCCTCAAAACTTTCTAATTTAGGCCTTTCTCCCAGGTGCATCTTTCTTTCTTTCTTTCTTTCTTTCTTGACTGACTGACTGACTGACTGACTGACTGACTGATTGATTGATTGATTGATTGACCAACCCATTAGTGGAAGCATTATTCTGTGCAGTTTACAACTTAAAACCCTCAGCCCTCACAATAACATGTAAGGTGTCTGTTAGAGGGAACTCCCAGAATGAAGAATTATGGTATTTGTAGTCCAGAAAATCCAAAAATCCCATCTTGGCTAAAGGCCACCCTGATTAGTAGTCATTGAATGGTTAGCACGTACACACCTCTATGAGCTTGGCTCAGTGGGACAGGATTTGGCCAAAACATTTTTGGAACTCCCAGAATGAAGAATTGTGGTATTTGTAGTCCATAAAATCCAAAAAACCCATCTCGGCTAGAGGCCATCCTGATTAGTAGCCATTGAATGGTTAGCATGTACACATCTCTATGAGCTTGGCCCAGTGGGACAGGATTTGGCCAAAACATTTTACTACCTGAGGTGGAACATCTAAGGAGACACCCTCCATGAACACCCACCTACAAATCAAGGTGCACAGTACTTGAAGTCCGGCAAGCGTTGAGAAATGTCAGGTAGCAATTCTGAACGATGTGCCTCCTTGTTTTTGGTATAGAAGCAATGATCCATTTCTGTCCTCTCGCAACACCCTAAATTGACACTGGAGGTGACCATCCAGCCTTGCCTAGCAATAGGGCCGGCCCTGGGATGGGAATTCGGGAAGAGTAAGGTTGGCCCGGAAGAGACTTCCATCGCCCTCCTTCTGAGCCAGAGAGGAAAATGTGCACTTCTTGTCTATGAAAGCTCAATCGAAGATCGTTGCAGGGCCCAGCTGGTTTCCCATGGCTTGGCTCTGCTTTCTGACAGACTGCTCCATTAACGTTTCATTATCAACCACTCCCGGCACCATTAGTCACCTGTCTTCAGTCCGTCTCGGCTCTGCCTTGAGTTTTATCTCCTTCTCCCAGCGGTGGACCCTTAAAAGTAGCACAATATGTTTCTTGACTATTGCTTAATCTGCCGTAGAACGCAACGGGAAACTTTGCCAAGGAGCTGTTCCGCGGGAGCATTAATCCGGCTTTACCAAGTGTGTTTTGACACATTGATTTGTAAAACTGTGTTTGTGGCAAACGGGGTCCTCTTCCTCTCCCACTTCGTCCTCCCTCAAGCACCCGTAGGTGCACCCGCCTTCTTTCTAAGGCCTGTTGGAACCGTGTTTTCGATGCATCAATGCTTCTGAGCCCCTCTTGCTTTGAAAGACGCTAGGGTGGTGTTGCATCGTTCGCGTTGACTCGGAAGACTCCTTTCCCTTGGCAAAGACTTCGGGGGAAATCTCACCATACCTGCGTTTGAAGAGCAGAAGAGGCAGCAGATGGAGGACCGGGGCTGTCCTCCCCCTCCCCCTTTCCGACATTGTCAGGTTCAATTAACGCACGGCATGAGAGGGAATTTGTCAGACTGGATCATGGGTACAATCTGTCTGCTCCCCTGCCCTGTCTGTCAAAAGCAGGTTATGTCAATGGCTCCGCGTTGGAACAGGAAGAAGGCCTGGTGATAGATGATCCCTTTCAGGGCAGGGTGAGTGAAGGGCAGCCATTCTTAAGGCTGTCAGCCCCCCCCGCTTTTCCCTTTTGCATCCTGAGATGAAAGCAAGAGGTGAATCGTGGCTTCTGGAAACCTCTCAGACTGGCAGTTCACCTCTCAAATAGGTCACAGGCACCTGTGCATCATTTAAGATGCCAGTACCAATCTTTCGAAATGGTAACTGGACCTTTGGCCACTTCTTGATGATTGGTTGAGCCTTGGTTCCTTTATGCTTTTCATTCTTGCATTGGTTGGGTGGATGCCTCCGTCCTCCCTCCCTTCCTTTTATCCATCATCAGATCCTCCCTCCCTCCCTCTCTTTGCTTGGTTGGGTAGATGGACAGGTTCTATCTAATTTTATCATCAGATCCATCATCAGATAGAACCTGGGTAGATGGACAGGTTCTATCTAATTTTCCTTCCTTTGTTAGTTCAATGAGTCAATGGCTTCTTCCTTCCTTCCTTCCTTCCCTCCATCCATCTTTGTGGCAATTTTGGCCCTGGGTCTTGCTGGCTACTGGTTCAGGTCATGAGACATTGGCCAACCCAGGAAAAGGATGGAAGAAAAGAAGGGAACTGCTGGGTTTGCACCAGTAATGTCCAAATTAGTTCTGTGCTGAGCCCACGCAGTGTGTGTTTCCTTCTGCCCAGAGAGCAGTGGCTGGAGCTGGTGTTCACACCAGAGTAAGAGGGGTTCATGTCCTTCCTTCAGTTACTGGCAGCAAACAAGTTTGCACTCTTTCAGCTGGAAAGATTTGCCTCTTCCACATGAGTGAAACTATAAAGTTAAGGCACATTTCATTCTTGGTCACTCAGTTACTAGAAATGCCTTCTCCAACCTGGTTCTCTCCAGGTGCGTAGGACTACAGTACCCATCTGCCTAAGACGGCATGGCCAACGGTCAGGGAAGGTGGGCATGGTAGTCCAGCACCTCGGAAGGGCACCAGGATGGGAGGAAAAGGAAACAGGACACCAGGTTCCGCCTGGAGTGGAACGAAGACCTCGGACTTCAATGAGAACATCATTCCCAGACACTCATCTGCCCCACGAGGGAGATCGAAGGTCAATCCCAGCAACGCAAAGTCAATCTGGGTTCACTTCTTCTGTTCTTGCTGACTTTGACATTTGACGCCCTTCCCTCTGCCTCCTCCTGCTGCTGCTCTGCAAAGATGTCAAGCTGTGTTTGCTGAAGAACATCTTAAAGTAATTTACACAAATTGAGTGCACCGTGTCTTTTCCTCTGATGGGAGAATATTGATTCAAAGCATCCCATTCGAAAAAGGGGGGAACTGCCAAACCTAAAGGCTGTTCCACTGTGCTCCTCTCCTCCATGATGTCCGACACTTCTAGCCAGACCTCCAGATTATCTGAAAGCAAGTTGGCCGACCTTCATCAGCTCCTTTTCTTCGCCCACTTCTTGGTGCTCAACAGGAGAGAACGATCCAGAGGGTGGGGAGTTCAATTCCTCACTGTGCCTCCTTGACAAGGGTTGGACTTAAGGATCCATAGGGTGCCTTCCAGTTCTACAGTTCTAGAATGATTATTAAGTCAGACTTAACGTCCTATTCCCCTGGACTTTATAGTCAAAGCCTGGTGCAAAGAGATAGGTCTTTGTGTTATGGGACATATCTGGCAACAATAGAGAAGGTGGGGATATGCTTCTGGGCCAGTTGATTGTGGAAACAGGACCAAACGGAACCCAGATCAATAAGCCCAGGGCAAGAGTACAATTAGCTAAACAATTAACATGGCAACCTATAGCCTGGAATGGGGTAGCTCAGTTACTTGGTATTCCTGGCTGCAGAGCCAGAAGTTGGAAGCAGGATTCTCTAATGCGGCTCATGGTAGTCATCCAATGTAACCTTGAGCAAGCTGCACAGTCCCAGTGGATCAGCAGAACTAGTAAATCACTTTGTTGTTGTTGTTTAGTTGTTAAGTCATGTCCGACTCTTCGTGACCCTATGGCCCAGAGCACGCCAGGCCCTCCTGTCTTCCACTGCCTCCTGGAGTTGGGTCAAAGTCATGTTGGTCGCTTTGATGACCCTGTCCAACCCTGACATCATCTGTCGTCCCCTTCTCCTCTTGCCTTCACACTTTCCCAACATCAGGGTCTTTTCCAGGGAGTCTTCTCTTCTCATGAGATGGCCAAAGTATTGGAGCCTCAGCTTCAGGATCTGTCCTTCCAGTGAGCACTCAGCGTTGATGTCCTTCAAAATGGATAGGTTTGTTCTCTTTGCAGTCCAGGGGACTCTCAAGAGCCTCCTCCAGCACCACAATTCAAAACACTTTGGGGTACTTTATATCTACTAAACCCTGGGAAAGGGCATGATGAGTCAGAATGAGTTGACGTTGAACGTTTTCGGTTGTACGATGATCTAGATGAAATCTGGTGTCATAAAGGGAGTAAACCTGGCAAATAATATCCAGTGTGGTGTAGTGGATTGAGGAACAGACTAGAGCTCAGGAGGTCTGGATTCGAATCTCTGCTCAACCGTAGAAATTCACTGGGTATGGAACTAGTAAAACCACTTCTTAAATATCTCACTTGCCGAGAAAGCTCTAAGAGGGCCACTAAAGATTGGTTCTGACTTGAAGGCACCTAACAAAAACTATCAGTCTGATCGTTTGAGGGATTGACATGCTAAACACTCCTAAAGCTTGCTTTAAAAGACCCTGATGGCCTAAATCAATTTGTGCCCCATCAAATTCAATTTGTGAATTTGCCCCTGCTGTTCTCCAGCGTACGATCAAGTCCAGAACTGACCACAGTCCTCTAAATGCGGCCACATAGCATCTGATATAAACAAAAGTCAGGCCAGTAAAAGCAGCTGATGGTTTCCTTTCGAAGGTGCCCAAGTTTGTTTGAGAACTTTGGTCAATAATATCAAAAAGAGGGGGAAAAGTCATTACGAGCCACGACAGACTTGCAAGGAAGCCCTCTGATTCAATTTATCAGCTCACCCTGTGATATATATATTTTTATTAAACACACAGCAAATTGATTAGAATGTTTGTAGGGTGTTGGTGAAATATTGCTTTCCCGTTGTGAAGGCTGCTATTCCATTATTTGAAAGTCAGTATTAAAAATTTCATGAAGGGAAGTTTTACCAGCAGTGTCTAATAAAAGAATAAATTGAATCATTGCTTAAATAAAAGGGGCAATGCTGTTCTCACACTTCCGTTGCTTGGGGACCGAGGATGATTCTTTCAAAAGGCTGGGTCACATTTTTATGCTTCTTCTCCATGACCTCTTGCAAAATTCTGGAGATGAGGATGGCATAGTCATCCAGCCCGCTTCTCCAGAGGAAATGGATCTCTCCAAGCTACAGATTTTGCCTGCTTACCTAAAACTGCTGTTGGTATTAGCTTAGTACTGAGAAAATATCCATCTATGGTTCTGGTGGGTGTAGATGTTGGTTCAAGCATCTTACTCTGAACAGTCCATGGTACTGTTGCATCTGCCTTCTACACCAACAGTTCTCCATATTGGTTGCCAGATGTTCTTGGACTGCAACTCCCAGAAATCCTGGCCAGCACAGCTAGTGGTGAAGGCTTCTGGGAGTTCTAGTCCACGAACACCTGGGCGCCAAAGGTTGGGAACCACTGTTCTACATGATTGCCTTTTATTTAAATTGTCTTGTATTTATGTTATGACACCTGGTACACATACGCCCATTTGGTCATGACTTGCCTCATTCTGTCCTGCATATTTGGAAGGTACCCCTAACCCCCCACCTCTCTGTTGTGCCTTTGTCCATGAGGAGACCAAGGTATCTTCAGAGGAGAGGTTACTGATTGTATATGGGTCCTCCATTAAAGGAAGAACCCTGATTTTCTAAGATGATGATGCCTCTCTGATCTTAATCTGAACATCTCTGTATCTACAGCTGTATCAATATTCTCCAAATATACTTTCTTTTAATTCTACATCTTTCTTTTTTTCCAATCAATAGGACCCCAGCAATGATTGGTTGTTCCTTTGTGGTGGACAGAGAATATTTCGGCGAGATTGGCCTACTTGACCCTGGAATGGAGGTTTACGGGGGAGAAAACATTGAACTTGGGATGAGGGTAAGTATCCTGTTCCAAGTATCGGACGAAAGGAGGACCTCTCTGTAAATCTTCCACGGTATGTTTTGTCAACCCAGGTGCCCTTTGAGGGAAGTTACTCTTTTTTGTACATCACCTCTGGTATCTTGCAGCTAGCGTGATCCGTGACCATGTTGGCTGCTGTGTTCTGGAAATGGTAGTCCCCAAAAAGTAACTTTTCCAAGCTGGGCATTTCACAGGGCTGTAAGAATGAAGTGTGTGTATGTGTATGTACTGTATGTGTTTTAAAGACTGGCTCATGATCTGGTTGGCCACCATGGAGATCACAATGATGAAATGAGATAAGACTTGAGTCTGATCGAGCAGCTGTGTATCTATACTGCTGGGGATGATTCGAAAAATCTCCCACAATGAAGTTTTTGTGTTATTTAATCCATTGGTCTGAAAGGCTAAAGTTCAAGCCTCCTATTAGGGCAGCGCTTCTCAACTTTGGGTCCTCAGATGTTCTTGTACTGCAACTCCCAGAAATCCTGGCCAGCACGACGAGTGGTGAAGGCTTCTTGGAATTTTAGTCCAAGAACATTTGGGGACCCAAGGTTGGGAACCATTGACTTAGGGGAACTCATGGCCTTTGCTTGGTTCTATACAGACCCAGTCCCTACCTCCTAGAACAGTGATCCCCAACCTTGGGCCTCCAGATGTTCTGGAACGTCAACTCCCAGAAATCCTGGCCAGCACGACGAGTGGTGAAGGCTTCTGGGAATTTTAGTCCAAGAACATTTGGGGACCCAAGGTTGGGAACCATTGACTTAGGGGAACTCATGACCTTTGCTTGGTTCCATACAGAGCCAGTCCCTACTTGCTAGAATCAACATCACTGTGTTGGATAGACCAACGGCTAGATGGGCTGACACTTGCTGGCCAGGATTTCTGGGAGTTGACGTTCCAGAACATCTGGAGGCCCAAGGTTGGAGTCCACTGTCCTAGAATCAACATCACTGTGTTGGATAGACCAACGGCTAGATGGGCTGACACTGACCATGGAACTAGGAGATTTCAGGATAGTGGAGGCTGGTGGGTGGATGGGGTGATGAATTTATTTGGGGTTTTAATCCAGACTTTAAAAGAGAAACACAAGGTGCTAAACCTAGTTTGGGGATGGAGCTCAGCACCTTATATGGATTGCATGAAGTTCAGGCTAAAACCCACAGTGGATTCCACCCCTTCAATGATGTTAACACCAACACGTAAGGTTTAGAGATGTAACAAACACACCAAGGTTCTCTGAGTGTGATATCACACTTGGTGCTCCACATTTCCATCCAAGTGAGGCTTCTGTGGGGGGGGGGCAAGTTCGTATTTCTTTATCGATCTGGGCTTCTCGGGGGTCACAGACTAGAATAGCTTAGGGTTTAAAAGAGCCAGAGAGTGGGAAGAGAGTGGCATTGGGAGCGAATTTTTTTTTGCTTTGTAAATCATTACCAATCCTTTAAAACCCCCGTGACAAATTAACATTCTGTCCCTGCTGAAAGAAAACGGATTGTGCCAGAAGGCTTCTGCGAGGCTGAAATCATTCTAATCAACTGAAATTGGGGGATCCCGTGCAATTAATGAGCCTGACTAATGTTGCCTGACGAACCTACTAATCATTTTTAAATGGTATCATTTATGACAAATGTTATTTTCCCCCATAGATGTTGCATGAATGGGTTCCTCCAACCCTAGAGCATCTAAGCTTTCTGCTACCAGACTAACCTAACTGTGCCCACTGTCTTCTGAATTTGGGCATCGTGCTTGCAAGGGGATACTAGGAACTGGGGAAGGGCTATAGCACATGTTTGGCATGTTGAAGGTCCTGGGTTCAAGGCCAGCATCTCCAAAGAAAGAAAGCAGAAACTCCGGATTGAAACCAGGGAAAGGCAGGTTTACTTAGAGACGTTGACCCCATGCTAGATGAAAAGCCATCCATCCATCATTTGAGAAGGGTTGTGTGCGCACTGAGGTGTGTGGAGGTGTAGATAGAAGATGCCATGGCTTGACGATGGGCCACTTGGTTTCAATGTAGACGGTCTTGAGTTCAGTCCCATGCATCTCCTCTTAAAGAGTCTCATAAGGTTCCGCTAGAAGAGTGCTTGATTCCATAGGCACCCAGTCCTTGTCCCTTTTATTCAAGAGCATGCGACCTTCCCAGCCTTGGGTTCCCAGATGTTCTTGGGTACAGCTGGAAGAGTGCTTGATTCCATAGACACCCAGTCCTTGTCCCTTTGAATCAAGAGCATGCAGCCTTCCCAGCCTTGGGTCCCCAGGTGTTCTTGGACTACAACTCCCAGAAATCCTGGCCAGCACAGCTAGTGGGGAAGGCTTCTGGGGGTTTCAGTCCAAAAACACCTGGGGATCCCCCAAGGTTGGGAACCACTGTGCCAGATGGACCAACAGTCTGAGGCCAAGTTGACATCAGTTGATAGGCAAAAGGTTCTATTTCTCTCTGCCATCCTTGCCCAATGGGTGTGATCAGTGGACAACACAGTGGACAAATTCTACCAGTCCAGAGACTACTGATGCCCATCCATGCCCACAGCCATTCCTACAACCTCCAGCAACTCCCCAAAAGAATTATCTTACAAAAAAACTTTTTTTTAACCAAAACGGTCTCCTTACACCCCCTAGTGGCCAACCTCAAAAAATTTAAAAGATAAGGTTTGGAGCCCAAGAGGGCTGACCAGCCCTCAAAAGGGGCCATGCCAGCCCCTTGATGAGAAAGGGGGTTTTGTGAGCCAGAAAATCTATTTTTAAAAAAATTGGGGGGAGATTGGGTGTGGCAGGACCCAAATCTTATACCCTGGGGGGCACATTTTTCCCAGCCCTGATATACTGAAGAGCTAGATGAAAACTAGCAGAAAAAAATGATATAAAATTATAGCCTGTTTGCATCGTTGAGAGAAGAGCTGGCTATGAGAAAGACGAAAGCATCTTGATTTTTTTTTGAGCCCTCTAAGACTCGAGTGGGTTAAAGTGAAGGGACGTCAATAGCTCAAACAGATTTTTTTCCAGGTTATTTCCTCCCTGGCTCATTAAAGAAAGAGGAGAGCTTGGCAAGGCTTATATAACTCCCCTTATTAGCCAGAAGCTACAAATGCCTTTGATTGTTTAGAAAAAGGAAACACATAAACATTAAAAGCAGGCTTTATGATTTGACCTAATAGAAGAAGTTTATGAGCCATAGTCTGTCCTTTATTTTGGCCTCTGTATCTTCCCCTCCCCCCCCTTTGTTTTTACAATGGACTTTTAATCATCCTAATAAAGCTCTCCCCGGGTCAGCTGGAGTGTGCCCGACGCAAGACAGCTTGGTAGTGCATTCCGCTCCAAGGAGAGAAGGAGAGGCTGGACATTATAGTCTCTAAATCCCATTAGGCACTCGTTCAGCGCTGGTTAGACCTCATCTAGAGTACTGTGTCTAGTTCAGGACACCATAGTTTAAGAAGGACGCCAACGAACTCGAGCAAGTTCAGAGGAGAGCAGCAAAGAAGATCAGGAGACTGGAATCCAAGCCCTAGGAGGAAAGACTGAATGACATGTTTGTCCTTGAGAAAAGAAGGCTGAGGGGAGATAGTGGCATGCTTGTCCTTGAGAAAAGAAGGGTGAGGGGAGATAGGATAGTACTTTTCAAATGCTCGAAAGGTAGTCATACAAAGGAGGGGCAAGATCTGTTCTCAATCATCCCAGTGGCCAGGACACACAATGATGGACTCAAGTTACAGGAAGCCAACTTTTGCAATGATGGACTCAAGTTACAGGAAGCCAGATTTTGGCTGAATATGAGGAAAAACTTCTTAACTGCTAGAGCAGTACGACAATGGAACCAATGACCTTGGGATGAGGTGGTGGGCACTCCAACCCTGGAGGCATTCAAGAGAAAACTGGACCACCCTCTGTCAGATCTGCTTTGATTTGGATTCCTGCTTTGAGCACGGGGTTGGACTCCATGGCCTTAGAGGCCCCTTCCAGCTCCATGATTCTGTGATTATGGGGGTCAATAAACATTGCATGGTGGATCTGGCAGAGCAACCTTCAGGGTTCTGAACATGGTAGGAACACACAGAGGGACTGTGTCTAATGAAAGGCAGGTCTAGGTTTCTTCTCCAGATGTTCTGCCTTACTGCCCCTTGGGTCTTCCTTTCCTGAAGAGAAGGAAGTTGGAAAAGAAATTGCATTGATTTTTAGGAAATGTTCCCCAATAATGTCACACATGCACACACCCCTAGGTTTGGAAGTCGCCCTCTGCATTTCCCCACACGAGGTAGACTTCATTGTTGGGTGGTGGACAGGACAAAGCTCAACCAGTTGGCATCAAACCGCACATGGTGGAAAGGTGAGGTTTCCACCCAAAATGAGCTGGTCTCTCTTCAATCTAACAGATGACATGGTTGGTCTGAGCATCAACCCAGTGGTCCCCAAACTTAGGTCTTCGGATGTCATTGGACTTCATCTCTCATTACATTCGGAGAACATTGCCGAAGGTCAAGGATTTTGTAAGCAGGAACACAGCCATATTGACGAACCCGAAATGGGGAACGACTGCACCGGGGTATTTTCAGAAAGTAATCAGCCTGTCCTATATGTGGTTATCTGAGATTTTTCTTTTACAGCCAGCTCTGCTCTGCTCTTGATTTGATTTTCTTCCCTTCGTACAAGGAGATTTTGTATGCCTTTGAACAGTCACTCTTTTTAAAGATTAGATCCTTTTTCTGCTGCAGTCAGTTATAATAGACTTGCCGTTTACCTATGCTGAAATTAAACTCTGAACTATCTTTTTTTGTTGCATTAGCTGATAATATAGGAGCTTCTGAAAGCCCCAGCATGTGTGCAGATCAAATCCCATCTACTTGAAAAGAAGGTCAATATCTCCTATTAAGTTTTAAAGCAAGGTTGCGCAACTCACGGCAGTCCAGCTGGTTTTTGGGCTGGAAGCCGTAACATCTCCCACCAGTGGCTACGCTGCTTGGGGAGGATGGGAAATGTGG